TGCTCTTGCAGGGATCTGCCTGCGAGGTCGGATTGAGATCAGCAAGCGAGACATTACCGGGAGGTGCTCTTCATCTTGCAGCACCCAGGACCACCTGGGAGCCTTCCTCAAACGTGGCTGCATCAAGATCTCGGGCTGTGTCACCAAGCACTCGGGCTGGGCCCGCTGGTTCCTGCGCTGCGATGTCTGCGAATGCGACTGCTATGTCCCGTGCGGTGAGTCCTGACAGCGGCTGCTCACCTTTGGTAAGGGCCTGTCTCACTGCTCCGTGGGAAGGGTTGACAGTGAGAGCCAGGGGCTGCCAAACAGCTCAAAATCTGCTGCCTTTGCTCTCCTTACAGCTTCCTCTGGATAGAGTTGGGCCATCCAGGGCTGTGGCTGCTGGCCCCACACCGAGGGAGGCTTCAACCCTGGATGTCTGCTTCCCTTCATCATGTGTCTCCATTGCTGTGCTCCTTTCGGATGCTCTGTCCATCCCAATGCTGTCGTCTAAGAGGAGAGATGTTCTGCACTCACATTCTCACAGAGCTGCCTTCCAGCCTGGCCCCATCCCATGACTCTCCAGTGGCAGGGAATGCTCTGTGAGCAGCAGGCACTGAGGAGCTGCATGTATTTCCTGCAGCTGGGCTCGGGAACAGTGCTATCTTGGCCCCTATTTGCCTGGCTGTTTCCTAGAGAAGGTTCATACTCCGTTCAGAGGGGAGAGAGCATGTGTGCCTGCTTGCTGTTTCCATGCCATGGGCAGAGCTCTCAGGCCAGAGCAGCCTGGCCAGTGCTGCGCCACCCATTGCTGAGGAATGGGACAAACTGCTGTACAGCCTCCCTGGGAGTGCTGGGGCCAGGACAGCTAACTGTGTGGGGAAAGGTCTCACCTCTCAGGTACAAAGTCTTTCCCATGGCCATGTGGTCCACACACTGGCTTCAGGACTCGTTTCTTCCAGGCATCTAGAGTCTTCCTTGAGAGCCCCTTTCCCCAAGGACTTCTAGCAGTTTGGGACCAAATGGTAGCTGATGCCCTGCAACTAAAATGGGTAAGGAGATACGAGGGGGCTGTCCTGACCCTCTTTGGTCCTGTAGCTGGAGGAAAAGACCTGGTGCATGGGTCCCCAAAGTCTCCTTCCAGGCCCATGAGAATGGCACTGGGGCTGTGGGCTCTCACTGCCTACCATGGGGCTTGTTAGCCTGCGCACTGCTGCTATTAATGTGGCCTTTGGCAGGAGCAGCCACCACGAGCACTGCTGTAACCCTGTGCTATGCCACCTCTCTTCTCAGGAGTGGGTTTCTGAACAGGGTCCTTTCCCTGAACAATTTGTTCTCCCTTTCACTGGCCCTTCACTTCTCACTAGGGCAATGCTCAGTGGCTTCCATTCATGCTGACACTGGTACCCAGCTCCAGCCTTGTGCTCCCTCACGACTGCTCTGGCTCCCTCTGAAGCACCGATGGAAAAGCCAGATAGTTTATCCCCCCAGGGAAGGAAAAGGTGGTCTGGAACATGTGTGATGGGATTGCCAGGGGAGCTGGAGGACCAGCAGCACCACCATGGGTAATTAAGAGTATGTTTACAGGAAATTACACAAGTTTTCCCATCATGCAGAGATTCTGCTGCTTGCTCTGTCCCTGGAGCCCTGAACATATAGGACAGGCTCTCTCTGCCACTGATACTGTTCTGAACATGTAAGCCACCATGGGGACACCACTATGGTTAAAGCCACTGTAGGAAGGTTCTAACTGGGCACTGGACCCCCATCCCTGCTGGCCTTCCTCCTTGAAACAACTCCACAGCAGGATGCTGCAGCAGCTGCTGGCTGCTGTATGGCCACCAGTTTGGTCTCAGCAGCTCCCAAACCGGGCTTGAGCAGTTGAGAAGGAAGGGGCTTTGGCAGCAAGGGGTTCACTCCCAGCCCCTGCTTGTGCCCACCCAGAGGGAAGCTGGACTGTTATGCACTGTGCAGAGGGGTCCTGGGCTGAGACCTGCAACAGTGAGTACCCTGGGCGTGAGAGTCAACATGCTGAACACAGACCAAACTGGATAGGTCCAGTGTGCCTTTTGCTGCATGACTTAAGACCTCCGTGTGGAGCTTGGCTTCATGACTACCTCCTTGTGCCCTCCCTCTACCCAGCGTGTGGGCTATCCTGCCCCACAGTCTCTCCTCTGGCTGAATCTTCTCTGCCCTGAGCTCTGTCCCAGTCCAAGGCTGGCTGTGGGAGGGGGGAAGCTTTCCTTGGCTCAACAGATGGTTTTTTAATTAATACTCTTGTTAGTGCCGCTCATTTCCATATGTCTTTCATATTTAAGTGCTGTGGTGGGTGAGAGGTGTGAGTAACAGCGAGGGTGGAGCTAGGCATGGTGCTGCCGACGGTGGAGGTACAGGGGGATGGTAGGTCCTGCTTGAAGAGCTGCAGAGGAGAGTGTGTGCTGGGGGTAAAGCCCTGGGGAGGGGCATTCCCCCATCAAGGCCCTTTTTGGCCAGCTATGCCACCACCAGCTCTGGCTCTTGATGCCTGGTGTGGGCTTCCCAGACGGTGCTATGTGCTGCAGCCCCGGTTTCACCCAGCTTGTGCCCCTCTTGGGGTGGATCTACAGTGGCTAAGTGGTGTCAGAAGAGTCCCAGGCAGGACCGGACTTAGAGGGTGTTGGTGTCAAGGGGTTTTGGGCTGAGGTGGCAATGGAGGGAGCTGCGGTGGGCTCTGTCCCGTGTGTGAACAGGAGCAGGCAGCGGGGAGGGGTGCTGGGAGGATGCGGAGACGGCTGGCGAACCCCAGGCTTGTGCGCTAGGGATGCTCAGGGCCTTGTAGCTTGCAGGGAGAGGAAATAGGGCTGGTCCCTTTAAGAGGATTTTTCGCTGCCTGGCGG